GCGGTGTTTTGCGGGTGGCTCTTCAACGGGAAGGAGCAAATACGGTCGCTCGTCGACGTCAGCGTCGAACCGCTTCTCGTCCATATGCACCATGGTATACATACCCTCGAACTCGAAGCTATGCTCGTCGATAAAGGTCAGTATCCATCGCATACGCGCAAGTTTCTGGATGTCGGTTAACTGGGGCTTTATACGGGTCGTACGACGTGTTATGTGGCCTTCTTTGAGTAGCAGGTGCAGTAGCCATGTCGAGACGCCGACGGCAGCAGCAGTACGTTCGATTCGCCGGCGGTCAGCCACGGGAACCGCACCAATTTTTGCTGCCAGCTCTGCTCGATCATACGGTTTACGGCCAGACTTCTGCTTGATCCTGCTCTCGGGGGCTCCGTCAGCAACACCCTCCGCTACATTTCCGCAGTAGCGCGCCCAAATTCGCTCAATCGTGTGTCTGTGGCACTCGTGTTAGCCTCGCATACGTTCCATGTGGCACCTTGCCGTCCCTAAATGCAAGCAGGATGTCCTGAACGACTGCCGACGTTCCTGATCAGTGAGGTTGTGTTCCCGCATCTCTGTGGCACAAAAACGTTAGAACTAACGGCTCAGCGGGTAAACGTAAAATGAAGTTGTCGAGGCAGCGTACACTAACCATCACAGCTCCACCAATTTTTTGCCGACAAAAAAAAAATTGTATGGCTGCAAAGCTCTAATCGCCCTCTACGGATTGAGCCAATCAGCGAGAACATTCGTGCGATTTTGACAAATCTGCGTTTCTTTTGGTGCAAATGTCCCAATCATTTTTGAATGGAGGAAGTATTGGCTTGCTCCGTTGGCTGATATGTGCACGGCAAAACCGTGTAGCACCATTGATTCTGCCTGCACCAACTCAAAATGAACGTGGAACACGATTACTGACAACACCATAAAACGCAAGGAAGCAGGAGAGTAGAGCACGGTACCTTCGCCGTTGGCAGAGAGCCCTAAAGCGATATCAAGGCGCCGATGACGAGGAGTTGCTGTTGGACTGGACTGTAACGCTGTGAGACCTGGCTTGAGCCAATCGCTAAGCCCTACCCCTACTTCATTTTAAGACATAGCCTAGGTCAGATTGCACTACTCCTTTGAAATCACAAGTCCGATGAAGAGAGCTAAAACTGAACGCAAAATGACAGCAAGACACAATACGTATATTTTCTAGGGGAGAAGATTGGGACGATTTTCTGCTGTCAATTCAATTGTCGGGATTTGACGATCCCCGTCGCCTAAACTTGGTACCAACACCCAGGTCATAATTCCTCTTTTTGCAATGTAGCCACTCAGGATTCCGCCAAATCTGCTCAGAATTAAGCTTTTTCCGTATACCGGGGTATGACCCTGACATGCTGAGAGACCTCGTAGCTTTCGACAATGATGCCAAACAAAGCCGCTATCTTTTGGTCCTATTTTTTGCCTTAATTTTCAAGGTGTTGAAGAGTCCGACAATGGCAACCTGCCTGCCAATGGCAGTGCCATCGCTGGTCCTGTTAGGTCAGAAACTCGAATGTACGTCCTCTGCACTTCAGCTGGATGCCAAGATTCATTGCGCAGCAGTACTTCGTAGAGAGCCATGCAACATCGAGAAAAATACAGTTTTTAGTTTGAATAAGTAAAATGTCCACGATGAGCAACCTGCCGTGGTTGTGCTCAACACAGGTTGCCTCTCCTTTAGGCATTTCCAGTAGCTCGACCTGGATGACTAATAAAAAATAATTACATTCGCGTT